GTATAAGTGCAGTAAGTATTTTTGAGAACTGACAACTGTTTCCCAAAGTATTGCAAAATACATGCACAAAACATATTAATTAACTACTACTATCTACCACTAAACTCATATGGATACTCATACGTACATATCATTTCAATTATACAGGGTGTAAATTTAATGTGAAATACTTCAGTACATCTGTGACGATTATACTTAGGCCGGGTACTTTGAGTCTCGGTTAAAGTTTGATTAACTGATCAAGCGATTAGATGTACATAATACTGATTTATTTTATAATTTATAATCACAGTCTAATCGCCTTATTAGTTAATCAAACCTTAATCGAGACTCAAAGTACCGGGCCTTAGAGAAATTAGAAGTTTAATTTTTGGCGATCAGGTGTCATTGGTGATACACATTTCAAAATATTTTTGTCAAAACTAGCAAACATTTAATTTGTAAAATCAACAATATAAGATTGTGTGCATATTGTTTCTATTGCTTTTGAAATATTTGATTTAAAGAAAAAAAAGAAAAGTTGTCAGGGTCTGCAAATATTTTAGTAAACTTTTTTGTATAGCAAATTTGCACTTAATTTTTCGTAGGGTAACATCATAAGATGCCGCAACTTTTATACTTCAATATAAATTTCTCAGTTGCATTTTAAATTTAAAATTTTTAAATATCTTAAATGAATCCTTTTTATGACAAATTTGTACCTAATTATTGGTTCAGTGACAAATCATATGATGCCCCAACTTTTTAAATTAAAAAAGTTCCCATTTTATCAATTTCAAATCGCGAAAACTTTGTTATTCCAAATGAAATACCTACTTTTTTGTTTCATGTTGTGTAAAATTAAATTATTTTTCATTTGGCGTAGACAGTACATATAAAGATTAAAGCCAATTTTTTAAAAGATATTGCGACTTTCATGACAAAGATTATCAAGTTAGTCATTTTAATGTAATTATCTTTAGATAGTGGCTATGTGTTATTTCATACTGGGTGTTTATACTGAATACTGGTTAAACGTTTGTTTGGAAGGTCTTTAAACTTTGACAAGAAAAATGGATATAAACAATCATTCGTATTTTTAATGAACTACTGCTTTATTACTGTTTTTAAGTATAGTATAATTTTCTTCCTTTTACATATAGTTTTACATAAAAATTTCTGTCAGTAGTATTTATTATTAATGATTTGGAGATGAGCTAAAGGCTCACAAATATGTATAAAATTGTAGTGAAATTTGCAAAATTTTAGAACTGATGTTATATATTCACGATTAATATGATAGACATATGAAAAACTGTTGAAAATCAAGGAAAATTGCAAATATCTTAAAAAACTGTAACTACACCAAATGATTAATTCTACGCAATATGAAACAAAAAATAAATTCTATTCTATTTGAAAGAAAAATATGCAGTTTGAGCTTGATAAAATGTATTGGATTTACAATTACATTATTCGAATTTTTCGAATTTGGTTCGATTTTAAAAAACAAAAAGTTAGCATTAATTGCTCTAAAATGCTACAAACTGACACAGATAATGATTTCATGACATCAAACTTCATGTAAAAGCTTAAAAGCAGAAACACATTTTCGAGACGGCAGGTAAATTTTTTGAGAAAATCGTATATGGTTGGTTCAGAAAAAAATTCTATATTAGAGTATGTAAAATATATTCTATTTTTTTAACTGCTCATTACTTATCATCAGTTTAAAATAATTACCGCCCATAATTTGTTTTTTAAAATCGAACCAAAAGTGACGAGCTTGTGGCGTTTTTCGGTAAATAAAGAAATTGCGAAAAATATGAGGAACTGATATATAACAACTATTATGAAAGTTGTAGATTTTGAGAAGGTCTTTCACATCCCGTTAAAAAATGTTCCTTTTGAAAAAGATAAAATTTGTTACGATTTTGTGAACACTATATGACATTTATAAACAGTGACCACTTCAGAATTTACGGTGAACCTTGTACAATACGTGTGACGATTGCTTAGATTATATCTCAAAAAACGAGTATATCAGTAACGATCAAGTGTAACGCTGAAAATTGTCATTTTTTGTATTAAAATATTAATATCTCGGAAACGGCTGATTTTTGACACATAGTACCTATTACGAAAAAGTTGCATAATTCCATGAAAAATATAAATATCCACTCAAATACAGGGTGTTCCATTTAAAAATATTCAACTTTGGTCAGCCCTCCGAAAACGAATCACCCTGTATAAGTCAAATTATTTTTAAAATGTGCATTTCTTTGCGCTGACAAGTGGATAGGACGGAGTAGACCTCGGTCATGGTCCTCTAGGTAACCTGACTTAAATAGCCTAGATTTTTTTCCGTCTCAAATCTCTATTGTAAGTATACATCACCAGTGAATACCTTGATGACTTACAAAATCGAATATTAGGCATTTGAAACCGTAAGAAATACTCTGGGGGTGTTCGAAAGTGTCCGGACATCAATGAGAAGAAGAGCAGAAAAAGGGTGATTCATTAATAATTGTACATACGTTAATTAGATAATCCTGGGCTTAAAATAAGAAGTGACACATAACGCTTACAATAATTAGATAAAATATCCCATACGGAGTTACAGGGTGCTTTATTTAAAAAATTGTAAATGATTTTGCCCATTACTAAAACTGTACTCAACTGTAACACCTAATTGAATAATAAAAACATGACAAATAAATTACATGATAAAATAAAAATGATTGGTCACCCCTATGTTTAATTTTAAAAATCTCGAGAAATAATGATTTTACCGCTATGCAGGAATAGTCGATTAATTGCATAAAAAGTATTGAAGAATTGAAAAATTGTGCCAAAATAAAAATTCTGCCAGTGGCGTAGAAGTTAGGAATGGGAAACTGCCCCCCTACCTCTGTTGTACGCCTCTGGTAGTACCCATGAACGATTTTGAAGCATTTTTTAATATGTTGTAAAGTATCTGAAATGTATGCCAAGTATGACAGGGAAATATCAAACAGGGTTAAAGTAACGGGCAAAAATCGTATACAATTTTTAAAGAAAACACCCTGTAAGCGATATTTTATGTAAGCGTTATGTGTTTTCTCATATTTTCAGCCCAGGATTATCCAGTTAGCCTATGTACAATTATTAATGAATCACCCTGTATGGAGGAAGTCACTTTTAATAATAATTATTGAAAAATTGTTGTAACATAGTTTCCTTGTTATGGTTATTATTTATATTTTTTTGTATTGTAATAAATCATTGTTACAAAAACCGAGTTACGGGACCATTTTAAAAATTTCAATCTCATCAAACGAATTACACAAAATCGTTTTTTATTTATTTTTTTTGTGAAAACGGTCGCAGCTACGAAAAAACCATAAGAGACCAAAAAGTTCCTATACAAAACAGAAAATTGTATTTGCATTTTAGAATACACCAGCGGCAGCGGCGCCCCGCACAAAAGTTGGGCATAACCCCCGACAAAATATCACCCTGTACAATTTCACAACAATTTGGCATGCATAATGATGTAAGCCCTACAGCGTAACCTTTATTTCATATTTGAGCTAAATATCTCAAAAACTGCAGGACCTATAGAGAAAAAACTAAAAAAATCTTGAAATTTCAACATTCTGTAGATCGTAACGAAGCGTTTGTGGACCTATACTATGGGTGATTTACCGAGAAGCTGACGAGCGGCCAAATTCTCAAGCGCGTCAATTCTTTGCCAAACATCAAACGCGATTATCTCGAAACATACTATTCGAAGACGGTTCTCAAAATATTCGGAAAACGGCTCCACCAATTGCTTCCAAAATTTGACGCAATATTTTTGAACAGGTTTTCTACTTTAGAACGCAGGTTTCTTTTCACTTAATTATTTTTTTATCTAAAAGTCTAAAAGGTCAGAAATTAAGGCTGAAAAAAGAAACGTTATTTTATCCTTGCACTATATAAAAATTGTCTTTAGCTTAGTTATAATCTCTTTAAGATGTAACTATCGATATAAAGTTGATGTCGATATCATAAAGGCATGTAAATAACGTGCCTTTAAATTATTTTTCCCGATATACAGAGTGATTCACAACTTATCCGAAAAAATTTGAGAATAGATCCTAAAAAAAATGTTGTAAAGTCCTTATAGTTTCCGAGAAAAAGATTATTGAAGTTGTAGTATTTAAAACCCTTATATCGCTGGGCTACTATAGTCTTCAACGTCATTCGCGTTGTGCGCTTTACGTAATTCTCTATCACTCTCTCTCTCTCCACGTGGCCCCAGGCGATATCGAATACTGAAATTCGATTTTAGTAGGTATTACATTACTTTTCCAAGTGTCACAAATGGCTTATGTGTATAGCAACTCAGAGTTGATGGATATCGTTTTAATTTATGGTGAAACAAGACAACATTTGTGTTATAGTGATGTATTTGTATTATGGTGAACCAAGACAACATTTGTATTAGTTCGTAGAAACATGTCAGTGGAAAAAATTTTGAACAGTTGCTGTAACATTAGGTATGTCAAATTATTTTATTGATTTAAACCACAAATTAATTTTATTAATTAATAATAACAATAGCGGCAAAAGCAGTTGAGTTTCTGATATCAAATAGGTGTTATAAAATTTTATTTATTTCTTTCCTTAGGAAAGAAATTCTTTCAATGTTCTGTCTCTTCATTTTACGCAAGGTCACAGTGGGCCAGTTTCCAGTGCCGTGTAGAAAGTGTATTTTTAAAGCATTTTAGATCTGCCCTTTTTGATTTTTTTTTTACAAAATTGTATTTGTAAGAATCCCCTGTACATTCAAAATTTTTTTTTTCGGATAAGTTCTGACTCATCCTGTATTCAGAATGGACAATAATTATATCAAAAAGTAAAAAAATGGATAATAAGATAGGTATATTAAAGCCTTTAAAGTCTTCTTTACTTAGTTCATTGTTTTGTAAGCAATAAATATTTTTTATGGCTTTCTTGAAAACATTTTCTGTTAAAGTTATTTACACTAATCCTACCTTGTTTGACGGACACGAATCTGGCATTTAAAGCGGCTACAAAACTAGCTTGTGGAAGAGAGTCTTCCAAGGAGAAAAGTTCATCCTTGGTGACGGTATTGGAACGAGTTTTCAGGACGGCTTTTGAACCAATTGGACTCAGGTATGCTCCATTTCTGTCTCTCAATGCCAACTGTCCGCTATGATATTCTGCAGTGAACAAACAGTCTTTGTTGCAAGTGTCCACCAGTTTTCCTGCAACGAAAAAATAAATAAAAAATTTGATTCCACATTATTAATAAAAAATTTATTTGGTATGAACTACAATAATAACTACCAGCAAAAGTTAGCGAAATAATAATTTCTTATTCATAAGGAAAGCGATCGTAGAAAATAATTAACAGTTGTCCGAAGTGATCCGCGGTTAATCGTCTCCGGCGATCGGTAAATACCCATTTCAAAAACGAAAATGAGCGTTCAACATTTACCGAGGTCACAGGCACATATCTAAAATAGCTGAAGGTTTTAATAGATGCTATTTTTACTAATGGTGGCGAAACATTAAATACTTCACATTTTAGTAATCCCACTATCGGCGTCATTGTACAATAACATGTACATGTCTGCCTCTAATCTGAAGCTTCGCATCGATCAATTTATTCGATACGTATCTAGTAGCACCCTAATGCCTGCCCTGACGACCTGGCGTGCCGATGTGAACATTCAAGTTATTTGCTGTGTGAATTTGACGCTTTGCTTGGTCGAATGTATGACATGTGTTTTATGGCAGTTAGTAATATTATGTATTGTGAGCATAGAGAGGCATACGGCTTGACCACAGAGTTAGCCTATTTCTGCTACTACAACGCGTATTGCCGCTTACTAGCATAATATAATCTATATTATGCTACTACTGTTTATTTATTTATCTGTCGCCACAAAGTTTCCGATGTCTATACCTCGCGGTCGAAATTATAGAGAGTGAGTCAGAGATAATATAAAAACATTATTACCATAAAGCGTATAAAATATAAAATGATTTTTATAACGGTTCAATATTATTTGTCTTGTATTAAATGATGTGCCGCTTTCTATGTACATCGATAGGATCTACAATCGTCTATAGACTGAGTTACACTAAACGTCAATCTATATTCTATCTCTGTCTATTGCACTTAGTTGGGGATAGAGAAATGCTTTTTTTAGTGAATGTAAACGGACGTACGTAGTACTTGATTTAGCCGTCGTTAGAAGCGCCATAGCATAAGCGTTGTCGAGGGGTCTAATTCCATGGTTAAAATAAACTTATAAATTAAAAAAAAATACAACCGGGACGTTTTAAAACGTAGTAATAATAAAAATGGATCAAAATGCCAGTTGTAGCAAACCGCCTATTGCTCATAAAAATAGTAGATGTTATGTTCTGTTATCTTTTTCCATATTTTCTATATCTTGTTGCTTTCTTAGTCCAGGGAAGTTAGGAAAAATAACGGAAATTTTTAGGTGCAGCAGATATCGAGATGCGGTTTTCTGCATTGTGTTCAGGAAGGTCTCAGGAAAGAAGTCTATATCGTCTGGTTAAGCCATTTTTTGAAAAATGCCTTCTGGGTCGGAAAATGCATTTTCCAATTGTACCATTACTTGCACCATTATAGGAACGACTGGAAACTCGGAAAAATCGCTCGGAAATCGTTACTCGGGGGATTTCGGGGCTGCCGAATTCGATTCTGGCATTAGAATTACCCGCGGGTGCACGGGGGTGGCTCTGTGGGGGTACGCGGGGGGTGAATTGGGGGAGAAATGGCAGCGTGCATGAAAATCGCTCCAAACTCGTTACTCGGGGGTTTTCGGGGATGCCGAATTCAATTCTGGCATTAGACTTCGCCGGGGGCGCTCGGGGGTGGCTCTGTGGGAAATGGTAAAGGAGAAAGTGAAAAATCACAAATTATGAAAATAATACTTTATTCAAATAACAAACAGGAGTTTTTATTAATGTTGAATTATTCATTATAAACTTAAATTTTTAACTTAAATACTAAACATCTTGTTCACTCTTCTTCTTCTTCTTCCCCTTCTTCATCTTCTTCCTCGTCACTATTCTCGGCCCCGTTGGAAGCTTCTTATATCTCCAGAAACATCCATTGTAAGCTCAAGCCAATATTCGATTCCGTTGAAAAACAAATCCTCGAACACGTGATCTATCAAAGATGACTTACAAGAGTGCCGGACACAACTCAAACACCAAAAAAATGGTCCAAAATCCAAAAAACTTGATCACTTTAGCACTGTATTCACGTATAACGAAAAACCCACGTGGTCCAAGAGTGCCAGACACCACTCAAACACCAAAAAAGGTCCAAAATCCAAAAAACTTGATTATTTTAGCACTATATTTACGTATAACAAAAAACCAACGTGGTATAAGAGTGCCGGACAGAACTCAAACACCAAAAAAAGGTCCAAAATCCAAGAAACTTGATTACTGTAGCACTGTATTTACATACAACGAAAAAGCAACGTGGTCCTAAACGACAGATGTAATACTGATGCCACACAGACGCCGACTGCGCGCGGGAACTGGACCCATATTTTTTTTCTTCAGTCGATACAGAATATTTCTGTTCGCGCTGGTCCCCGTGGTAACGATACTCTACTCTCTTATAGCTTTGGCGCCTTTTTCAAATCCAGTTTCGAGGCACAAAAGACTTCCAAAGCAATTGTTTTTATAATATGTGTAATATTCACTTATTTAATATTCAATCAAAATTTTTATTATTCATACCGCCGGGTAATTCTAATGCCAGAATTGAATTCGGCATCCCCGAAAACCCCCGAGTAACGAGTTTGGAGCGCTTCCCATGGACTATGCAATTTCCCCTCCAGAATGACCCCCCGGATACCCCCGCAGAGCCGCCCCCGGGTAATTCCAATGCCAGAATTGAATTCGGCATCCCCGAAAACCCCCGAGTAACGAGTTTGGAGCGCTTCCCATGGACTATGCAATTTCCCCTCCAGAATGACCCCCCGGATACCCCCGCAGAGCCGCCCCCGAGCGCCCCCGGGTAATTCCAATGCCAGAATTGAATTCGGCATCCCCGAAAACCCCCGAGTAACGAGTTTTGGAGCGATTTTTATGCACGATGCCATTTCTCCCCCAATTCACCCCCCGCGCACCCCCACAGAGCCACCCCCGTGCACCCCCGGGTAATTCTAATGCCAGAATCGAGTTCGGCAGCCCCGAAAACCACCGAGTAACGATTTCCGAGCGATTTTTCCGAGTTTCCAGTCGTTCCTATAATGGTGCAAGTAATGGTGCAATTGGAAAATGCATTTTCCGGCCCAGAAGGCATTTTTCAAAAAATGGCTTAACCAGACGATATAGACTTTTTTCCTGGGACCTTCCTGAACACAATGCAGAAAACCGCATCTCGATATCTGCTTCACCTAAAAATTTCCGCTATTCCGGTCGATTTTGATCTAAATGCCCTAGACTATCTGGAAAGATAGCCTATGGATTTTCGATCCTCCAGGTTCAGGTGCTAGCGATGAGTCACTCTCTCTTTAATTTCGATCGCGAAGTATAATCATATCATATGTCAATATTTTAAAAAAATTTTCACAAATTGCCTAATAACAACCCCTTAATATTTTATACACTATAAATAGACCAATCAAACGTTATATCACTATTATAATACTGAGAAAGAGAAGAATAGATTATGTTTCTTTAATTGGATGCAATTTAATTTTCAAGATAAAAAGATTTTATAATATTAATGTAAACGGGGGACATATTGAGAATTTAGTTTAGCCAACTGAATATAATTCCATCTCCACAAAAAAATCGAGAAAATTGCCTCTGAAGTCTGACTATGTCTGTCATGTTTTCGGGGTCGCTGAATCCAAATTCTCCCATTACGTTAGGATTTTTCATAACCTCTTGAGCCTTAAGCTTAAGCCAACGAATATAGAAGAACGCTCAGGGTTGGAAATCGGGGATGAAATCTTGGGGGACGTTTATAGTATGTTATAGGTTTCTTCTATGTAATCTTGGGAGACAGCTATAGTCTAGTATAGGCTCTACGTGCATTTCAATTTCGTCCCTGACTTGTAACCTATGAGCGTTCTTCTATAAGAGGTCTATATTCGTTGCCTATACTCTAGTTCGTACATAAGGCTATTCTTTACTGGGTTATGACGTTATGGGGTTATTAAAGAGTATTAATAGTCAGACTCCAGAGGCAATTTTCTCGATTTTTTGTTGTGGAGCTGTGTAATCTTTAGCTGTAGTTTCCATGACAATAACAATTATTTCATTTCTCATTAAATTAACTTTGTAGGTACCTATTGCAAATTGTAAATATAAACATATTTATTATACTCGACGGCCAAAATTATAGATAGTGATTCATCGCTAGCTCTTGGACTAGTAAGGGGGATGAAGCGTGCCGGGAACGAAAATCCATTGGCGTGTCTGCGTAAAAGGCAACAAGATATATAAAATATTGAAAAAACATAATAAAACATAACATCTAATATTTTTTACGGTTTGCTATAACCGGCACTTTGATCAATTTTAATTATTACAGCATTTTAAAACGTCCCAGTTGTGTTTTTTTAATTTATAAATTTATTATAGCCATGGAATTGGACCCCTCGTCTACGCTTATGCTATGACGTTTCTCAGGTCGGGCAAATCAAGTCCGTTTACAACCACTAAAAAAGCATTTCCCTATTCCCTACCAAGTGCAAAAGACAGAGATAAAATATAGATCGACGTTCAGTGTAACTCAGTCTATACACGATTATAGATGCCACCGATGTGCATGGCGAGCGGCACAAAGATAAATAATATTAAACCGTATAGGAATCATTTTATATTTTATACGCATTATGGTAATAGTGTTTTTATATTATGTATTAGTCACTCTTTATAATTTCGGCCGCCGAGTATAGGTATCTGATAAAAAAATTAAAATGTGTACATATTTTTTCTTGCAAGGGAATAAGTACAAACCATGTAATGAAAATTAAATTGCATCCAATGAAAAATCAGTAAATAAATCGAAAACGGTTAAATTGTTAAATTTATCGACATAAAACAGCAGGAACATTCAAGGCGTATATTCTGCAGAATATTATCTTTAAAATACCACCCCCATGTCTGTACTTAAACATGGTGCAAGTACACTATATTTTGACCAAAAATTCTGATATTTCTGGGTTATTCAGCTACATTTAAAAAAAATTCCAGTTTACAAAGGTATACGCTCTATATCAGTTTGTATATTTCAAACATCACAATTTCCTAAATTTTTTGTTAATATCTCCAACCTAACCTAATTTAACTAATAGAGTATGATTATCTTAATAAATTGCAGTAGCCGCCATAATTTTAGAAAAACTCTTTTTAATAATGTTTGCTTGTATGAATACCGAATAAGGACAACCTAGACATACAATTGGGAGAAAATGATATTAATTTAATAAAGTAAAATTTAAAAAAGTATTGCGAAAAATATGTGAGAATATTTAGCTAAATAATTGTAATAATATACAAAATGAGTAAAGATTATTTCTTTATTAAAATTATTAAGAACTTTATTATTGAAGTTAATATTTACTCCATTAATAAGAGTGATAAAATATTTCAATTTTAATTTTAGTCGATTAGAATAGATTTTCTTCTAAAGAAAAAATTGATTAGTATATTTAGACTCCCCTTATTTGATATACAAATAAGCAACAACTATTAGTAACATCATATAAAGTCATATAAACAATTTTCCCATTTGGTGTTAACTTTTATGAACCAAAAGTACAAAGTCCGGCAGAATTTATTTTTCAGTGGCAGTATTTTGTAAATAAAATTCCATGAAAATTTTAGAAATTTCTTGCTATTTCTCTTACATTTCCAGGGCTAGGAAAGGAAATTCCCCGAACGTTCTAGGTTTTCCAGACAGGTAAACACCGTCATTAAGTAAGTATTGTTAATTTAAAAAGAAAATTTATTTTATTTAAAAAGTAACTCTCAAAGTACCTTCCTACTGAGACACTCTATCTCTATACTTTTAATGTACGATCTTCGTGCGGACCACTGTGTGCGTATAACTGTATAAGGCATACACACAGCTGTACAAAAAGAACTGTCCAATTACTGTTTATATTTTGAAGTCGATCTTGGATATGTAAATTTTAGTATACCTTTAATGGTCAGTTATACAAAACTTCCATTTTACCAGTTCGTGAATATGATTAGTTCCCATGGGCAGGAAGGATGAATAATTTTATAAAAGCGGGATTCTTTCGTCCAAAAACGGGACATACTACGGGTTTGTAGAATTAAAAGGGACGTAATCAGGAAATATCTATTTAATAACAGGCGGAAAAAGCGGGACATTTAATTTTGGGTTAAAAAGCGGGACGTCCCGCCAAAATCGGGACGTCTGGCAACGCTGTTTTTTATACTCAACTGCAACTTGTTTCAGATATCGCACAAGGTTATTTCTAATAATGTTGTTATAAACCAGGCGGAATCTGTTTCATAATTTCACTATGCGCGCCCTTCAAAACGTGGGCTAAACTTATTATTAAACAAATAGTGAACAAATTGGAAAAAATTACATTTTTTTTTCTCTTTTTTCAACACAGTTAAAAAATTATTCATTTTAGAGAAAAATTGAAGAAGAAAAAAAGATTCGTAATTAAATTTTACACATATTATACCTATTTTCAAATACAAAATACAACACAATTATTGTAAATATAGCAAAAGCAACAAAAAAAAAGTGAAAAAAATTACAATATTTTTTCGATTTTTTAAAAAGTATGTACTTATAATATAGGTAGGATCTTCTTGGCCAAAAAAATCTTTTTGATATAATAAAACATCACAGCAATTTTCGTTAAAATTGGTCTGATAGTTTTCGAGTAATAATTTTGCAATCCAGATTTTTGAAAAAAAAAATTAAATTTTTGCTTTAACTGAGCCTAAATTAAGACGTCTAAATACTTGAAATTTTATCACATAAAAAAGGACACTCAAACTTTAAAATACGTCCAGAAAAATTGAAATCCGTTAATTAGGAGAGCCGTGGTAATTGTTTAAAGATATGCGTAATTTTTGCGCTTATAAACAAATAGAATAACTTTATAAATTCATTATAATTATTTTTTTTTATTATGCTTTTAATGTACTTGGAAAGACGCTTCTTTAAAAAAAAACGTGGTGATTCATTAATTGGTTCCAGAGTTATAGTCGATCAAAGTTGGCCGGCATTTGTGGCGTAACTACGAGGTCTGGAGGACTGTTTTTTAAACAAATACCTCATTCCGAGCACTTTCCGGGAGTGAATTTACAAAACTTGCGCCCTTGTGCAACCCATATAAAATGTCGATTAAAACTATTGGACCCAGCACGAAATTCACGAAAAATGTATGGGAGGTGGTAGTGGGGGTCGAGAGCTCGGCTACTCCAGCCGACTCAAAATTGAAATTGCGCGTTCAAAATAGCGGCGCACTTAAACATTATGTTTTTTTTTTTAAAGTTTGAGTTAATTTAGGCTCTGTTAAATATGCAAAAATTTCAATTTTTTTTTTTTCAATAATCTGGATTACAAAATTATTACTCGAAAACTATAGGACAGATTTTAACGAAAATTGGTATGATGTTTTATTATATCAAAAAGATTTTTTTTGGCCAAGTAAGAAGATCCTACCTATAACAAGTATTTTTAAAAAAATCGCAAAAATACTGTAATTTTTTTCACTTTTTTTGTTGTTTTTGCTACATTTGCAATAATTATGCTATATTTTTTATTTGAAAATAAGTATATCATATGTAAAATTTAATTACGAATCTTTATTTCCTTTTAAATTTTTCTCTTAAATGAATAGTTTTTGAACTGTGTTGAAAAAAGAGAAAAAAAATTGAATTTTTTCCAATTTTTTCACTATTTGTTTAATAATAAGTTTAGCACACGTTTTGAAGCGCGCGCATAGTGAAATTATGTTTTGTTATATCATTTTGGAGCCATTAAAGCAAAAATTAGCGATACTATGTAAAACATCTACACCAAAACAGATCCCGCCTGGTCTGTTAGCACGCTTAGACATTTTCAATTCGCATATGAAAATTACGAGTTAAAAATTGTTGATGTTTAAATATTAATATTAATATTATTTGGACAATAAATTATTTTATATGCAAATCTTAAATTTAATATCCTGAAAACGAATGTAAACCTGTTTTGCAGAAGACTACTTAATCATAAATTCTCCTGTCATGAAAGGAATAGTTTCACACAGTTCCACGTTTAGTATTAAATACTTAATTCAATATTATCAGTCGGCCTAATATAAAATAAATAAAATACCTCCAAAATAATCTCAACTAGATCGTGATAAAAACAGTGTATACAAATGAATGCCCATAATCCAAAAGATTACTAAGACAATGGGTAAAACTGATGTCAAAAATAAAATATTTCCATTTATTCCCCTTATTCTATTGTCAATTTCTGGAATAAAAATAACTTTTAAATCTCCATAATCTCATAATACTGTATTTTCTATCAAGGAAATAATATGTCAACCATTTGCTACATTCAGTAGAGGATTTAACAAAACGAATTAGTCTAATCCTTTAGATAGACAGTTAATACCAACACCAACGATTTCTTTACGTAATAATCTTAATCTTGAAAAATAAATTGAGAAAATTTGTGTATGTAGTTGTAATGTAGCTATGGTATGGTAATACAAGATATTTCAGGATTAATAATTGTTCAAACATGAATAATGAAAATAAGAAAAAAAATCTTATGAGAATGCCCGGAAATGTCATTTTCAATATTGAAGTATTGAAAGTTGCGAAAAATTAATTTGTTTTCTACCTGACCGTCGGTATTCGTGCTATTGCTGAAACTGTAGGAATTGACAGAGAATGCGTAAGGCAAATACACGAGAATTTGATGCAAAAAATTTGTGCGAAAATTGTGCCGAAAATTCTCACGATAGAACAAAAAGAAGCTTGAGAAAACATTTGAAAAAAACTTCTTGGAAAGAGTGATAACATGCGATGAATATTGGTTTTTCACTTATGATCCAGAAAATAAGCGTCAATCCATGCACTGGAACAGCCCAATTTCCCGGAGAGCTAAAAGCTCGAATGAGCAAATCAAAATTCAGAGATGTTGTTGTTTTTCCATGAGATTGTTTACTTTCACTGGATTCTTGAAGCTCAAACTGTTAATTAGCATTACTACCTTGAGGTTCGCTAAACTGAGTGAAAAAGATCTTCCAGCGTATTTGTCAATAGACTGAAATGTTTACATTTTGTCTCCTTGTGATTAAAGTCCGTCTTTTGTAGATTTACATTTTCATGAAACTATACTCTAATGATGGAGGTCCACATTAGTACTCTCCTTAGAAAAAAATAATTTTAATTTCTTTCACACCTTACATCTTAAAAACGAAGCATATTTCAACAAAACTTAAATTCCACTGTAGATTCCTATTGCTGACGTTTGACCAATCAGTAACTGAATACACCCTGTATAGAGATACACCTACGGAAACGATCCTGTATGGAAGCGACCCTATTATAACTAAAATTATTAAAAATCTTACCTCCCAATGAAAGATATTTGTTGTTGCATGTGTGAATTGCGTACTTCCCAGATTCGTCTTGCCTGAATTCTAAGGTGAAAAGGGTGTCTTCACCCCAAGGAATATTAGCATCTACGTGGATTTCATCGAGATTTTCCGATAAATGGGCGAATCTTTTCCTGCCTACAGATCTAAGATTCATTTGGGGTCTGGCAGCTAGATGAACATGCCAAAATTCAGCATCTCCAGGCACTTTGGCAGTGCACGTTAGTTTGTCTGCAGAGGCACCCAAGAAATAACCTCGGACGACGTTCCGAAGAGCCCAACGGCCGGTCCCGTCCTCAGCCACGCTGATCTGGAACTTGCTGCCGGGATCTTTTTCTTCGCTTTCGCAAGTTGCGTTTCCAAAGGAGTCTACTGCTAAGTATTTGTCTAAGTGGGACCTAAGGTAGATCAAGCCTGTAAAAATGCAAAAATAAAATAATTCAATATGTTTCTATATCTATACTATAGGGCGAGTGAAAAGTGCCCGAAATTTTTTTGGACAGTGATTTGATGTAGTAGTCATTTTTTTTTAATTTTAATTAGTTGAGTTGGCCATGAAATATTAACCTTAAGTAATGTTTTAATTTATTATTTTTTTTTAATTAAATAGGTATGTGGTATGGGTTGTAAAAATGTGTGTAACTGTTGTCGAATTGCAGAAGACGGCATCGACATCGTTCGAATGACCGTTTTCAAGAGTAAAATCGCCTACGATCCTATGAAACTTTCAAGGAGATTGGAGAAACTGCAGACAGTCCTCGGAACGGGCATCCTTTAACCGCCACCACTTCGGAGAACGTTACAAGGAGCGCTGCCGAATTCGTCAAAATTCTGAACTCTCAATGCACAAGATGACCACGGAGCTCGGATTCAGCGCAACGCGTCCGAAACATCGTCAAGAGGAAGCTGAGACACTTTATTCGAGTCCACTATTTCAATGATCCGACGAAGGCGAAGCGCCCACAAAAATGCTACCGAATACGTCGGCACAATTGAATCGCTCCACAACCACCAAAATCGTGGTCAGCTACTCATTCAAGGCCAGCAAAAGACCGCCACTGCGAAAACGATCGGCCGGTGTCACTTTTCGGCCTGCGATGTGGTTTGGGCGGGCATTTGCACCATCATTGGTGTTCATTCCAAGGACCGTCAAAATTAACGCCGCCGGGTACCCAGAATGGGTTCTTCGGCGTACTTTGAAGTCGTAGGCGATGCGGCGCGGACGGATTCACGTTGCAGCAGGACTAGGCGCCGCCGCCGGTACCGGCACATTCCACCATCGCCGTCTGCCAAGAGTTGTTTTTGGGATTTTGGGGCACAAACATTTGGCCGCCGAACTCGCCGGATCTCAATCCATTAACAATTCGGTGTGGTCCATCATGGAGCAAAAAACCTAAGACGATACGCAACGGCGGAACAGCTGAAAACGGCGTTAGAGCGTGCCTGCGATGGGATTACAATGGAAAAATGTACGACCATCATTGGTAATTTTCGAAAGCAAGTAAATGTATTAAAACCAAAGGTAACAATTTTGAAAATTTTTTGTAAATTTTTTTCTTTAATATTATAAATGTTGATCTGATAAAGGTTTTCTATTTTTTGAGTATGTTGGTGTGTTGAATTATGTACTTAGTAGTTATAGCCTTTTCAAATATTTAAATAAAATTGGTGGAACTTTTCACCCACCCTGTATTCTTTACTGTACAATACAGAATAAATCATTGTGCCCATAGACTGTGCCTCAGTAAAATTAGTAAGGATTTTTATTTTTAATTGGACATTGTTTTAATGTATTTTCGAAAAACTTTTTTTTGAATATTCGTGTTTAAAAATTTATCGAGTGTGGTTTACAGTAAACCGTTTACTACAATAAATGCAATGGTATGAGCTGTAAAGAAGGCAGGAAGTTGACGAGGACAACGGCCAAGGTTCATACAGATGTTGAATGATAACGTGAACGGACAGCTGGGGACTGTGGCAGAAGTGCATTTATGCATGCCTTAATGTGCTTACTAAAAAAAATTATATTTAATGAAAACATGTTATTTTGGACTCTGGCACAACTTATTTATATGACTAATTTATCAATTTTGTCAATCGTAATTAGCTTGAAATATTTCTACACTTTATGTAAATCGGATGCTAATTTGGTGCTAAGGGTCAATTTAATTAATTTTTAAATATTTTCATAGGTGGCAAAAAAATATTGTGTTATTAATATATGACGCAGTATACTTATGTCATTATTAAATTATTTAGTATAATGATTAAATAAGTGAGTTAATTACCTCGGACAACATTTACGTTAATGTAACTTTAATGTAATATAATAATTTCCAAATAAAAAATAAGTGTTACCTTCCTCCGATTTTATTTTTATGAAAGAAGAAACAAAACGTCTTCTTAAAAAACATATATTCTATTATTAGCTCTGGTATTTTTATTTTTATAAAGTATTAAGACATTCAAATTCAAAAACTTTTTCCCGTAAAAACTTATCAAATTAAATAAGTATTCTTCTATATCAGTTTAAGTACGCAAAAGATATCTAACCTCACAGACAACATTCCTAAATGTTGACATTGCGGGAAACAAATACATGCCCCAACTAGCATTAAAATACATCGTGATGATAAAGTTGAAACAAAATTCATAACTTTTATACTGTGATTTAAAAAAAAAAACGCCGATTTACGAATTTGTTCTCCGGAGGGGCATCTTGTAAGATGATTCAGTTGTATACAGGTTGACCCAGAAAAGCTGGAATACCCTGTAAATTTTTCATATTCGGATAAAGCTTTCTCTTACGAATACAGTGAAGTAAGGTTATGTCAAATAACAAATAACAAGCGAGATACTGCGAGAAAATGACCTTTATTTCAAAAAAATATTTAATGTCATTTTTCATCAAAGAAATCGTACTTGGAAACGAAACAAATGCAAATAATTAACGGAATTTAACGTAAATTTTCAAATTGTCCTCCACCAACAATTTGGCACTGGCGCGCAAGTATAAACACTTTGCACACTACGCTCAATAATTTCTGGGCTGATTCTTCTCATTTTAGAACGAATTCTCAGTTGTAAGTCTGCTAAATTGTTTGATCGATTGAAGTATGCCCTAGATTTTAAATAACTCTATAGAAAAAAATCCAGAGGAGTCAAGTCGGAGGAACGCGGGGGTCACTCAAGAGATCCTCTCCGCCCTATTCATCTTTCAGGAAATGTATCATCAAAATATTGCCGAACCTCTAAGCCAAAGTGAGGTGGAGGTCCATCTTGTTGAAACCAAATATTTGCATGAGGTATATCGCCGTCTGCGTCTGTAGCGTTGGGGAAAATAATTGCTACAGCCGGCATCAACTCGAAACGTAGAGGTTTTCTTCAAAAAAGTAAGGACCTACAAATCGCCTTCCTATGATTCCCACCCATACAACTCACCGTAGATTGTGCAATTGGTGGTATGTCAGCATGTGGTTGATTAAACAGCTCACATGCTTCCCCATGAAAATATTTGGTTTCAACAAGATGGACCTCCACCTCACATTGGTTTAGTTAGAGGTTCGGCAATATCTTGGTAATACATTTCCTGAAAGATGGATAGGGCGGAGAGGATCTCTTGAGTGGCCCCCGCGTTCCTTCGACTTGACTCCTCTGGATTTTTTTCTATGGAGTTATTTAAAATCTAGGGTATAGTTCAATCGACCAAACAATTTATCAGACTTACAACTGAGAATTCGTGCTGAAATGGAAAGAATTAGTCCAGAAATTATTGAGCGTAGTGTGCAAAGTGTTTATACTCACGCGGGCCAGTGCCAAATTGTTGGCGGAAGACAATTTGAAAATTTACGTCTAATTTCGTTAATTATTTGCATTTATTCCATTTCCAAGTACAATTTGTTTTATGAAAAATGACATTAAATAATTTTTTGAATTAAAGGTCATTTTATAGCAGTATCTCGCTTGTTATTTGATATAGGCCCATCAAACCTTACATCACTGTATTCGTAAGAGAAAACTTTATCCGAATATGAAAAAATATAGTGTTCCGTAAGAAAAAACAAATTTATTGGCCGTCAAGCTTTTCTGGGTAACCCTGTATACAACTAAATCATTTTAAAAGATACCCCTCCCGATACCAAAATTGACCTGTCTCGGTGTTTTTTTTTAAATCACTCAGTATAAGTTATAAATTTTGTTCCAAACTTTATCATCACGCTGTACAAAACAATACCTATTAAATATAATTAATATTTAGACATGACATATGTTTAGTTTTTATTTTGGATAATTATTTATTTATTTTATTAATACATGTTTCTAGTGTAATTCAATGTTAGTTGGGACATGTAACCCTCAGAGCAGTTTCAAGCAATATCAATTCAAAGAATATAAATATTTAGCAACTGCAGGTAAAACTTTCCACTGATTAATCCAGTTTATATTTAGTTTTTCCATTCTTAATATATAAGACGCCCAATTAAGACGGATTTTTCTGGATCTTTGGTTATCCATATACAGGGTCGGAAAGTCCCCATGGTTCATCGGCCGATACGTGAGAGCGATAAAGTAAGTCATAGAAATCCGTGCGATAGAGAAAGATTGCTATAATGAAGGCGTCTAATAGTCACCGCTCATTTCGCCCTTCCACAAATAAGAAGTGGATCTTCCCGCCTTCCTTCGTCCGAACGTCGTATTTTGATGGCGATTTTTTGCCGTCTTCGCGGTGAATTTTCAGTTTTCTTCAGGCTCTGCGAGGGGCGCGGCCCAATTTTTGTGTGAAACGCACGAGTCCGACACGCCCTCTCGCTGAAATCTGACGGTCGCGATCGCCTCGAATTGCGCGCGGATTTTTTATTTTTTATTTCCCCTATTTTCTACGATATTTTATTTAAAACTGTGCCGAAGATACTCATATTTATCGACCGGGTGCCTATTTCACGCCTTTGCTGTAGAACTTTCCGCGGGATTCGAAATGCGGCTGTAAATACGTTAAAATGAACTCTCTAGCGAGGCCGGAAAACGTCTATTTTGCCCCACGAAATTCTTTTCCCTCAAACCGCGGGGAGACGTGAGACTGGGCATGAGGTGTTGATTCGGTCATCTTTCGTCGATCAGGGGCATTTTTTTTCGCGTTTTCATATTTAATTTTGCCTTTTTTTGAGGTCTCCTCGACGACAAACGGCCATTTCACAAGCCGTAAAGATTGAAGCTTGAAGACACGCCCACCCGGAGGAAATTCGAATGTCGTTAGAAACATTATAATTATGTCAAAATAATTTCACGCCAAACGCGAAAGACGTCTGTAGGGATGCGGCGAACCGTTATTTTACCTTACTAGGCCTTTTTTTTAACCTTAATACATTGCTACGCCACGACATATACAGGTATTTCTTATTATTAGGTTAGGTTGTTATTTACATTTTCCTAGCTGTACCGTTTGACATGCCTACGATTACGATACCTATCCCCCGAATTAACGTAAGTAAAACCCTCTAAAACTGCATAATTTTAAACCAATCCGTAGTACCTAAACCCTTGAACCTTTGTATTAGTACATTTGCTTCGTTAATTTACTATTGCATTCGTATTACTCTCCAAACGTCAAAAGTTAAGAATCAGTAGAAATAGGTTGGAGTTAAAGACTCTTCCAAGTCATAGGATGTCGTTATTTATCTGTGTTATCTTATTGTGGATCTTTTGCGAGACGACTTTGTGTTAGAAAAATGCAAATTTAACATTACAAAAATTGTTGATTACTTCAGCTATGAATGACCATTAAAATATCAGACGGATTGTAGATGAAGCAACGATAGCACAGGTAAAAACGTCCCGTTGTATTCCTAAGGTCGGCGGTTCAATCTCAGACGAGGTAACGAGGTTTTTTTTACTTACTGCTGTAATTTAATTTTATATATGGACTCATCTTTTTAAACCTTTCTATAACAAAAACAAATTTTCAAATAGGTTTTTTATATACAAGGTGTCTAAAACATTGCGTTGAAACTCGAACGGTCCAGATGCTCCTATATATTATTTCAGTTTATTGATTGCAACATTTTTATGAAAAATCTTATATCGCAATAATCATATGCTTTTTGCAAAGGTATGTACCGAATGTTTCATAAAAATGACACAAGTGAACTTTGATTTTACTTATCTTTTCACTTTTTCTAATTTTTTTTTAAATCTTTTCATGAAAAGTTATATAGTTACTAACCAAAGGGTTTTTTTGAAAATCCATATACTGCATATTCTACATAACTGACCCAAGTCAAAATTATCGGTCTAGAGGCTTCTGTATATTTCAGAAATTTATTGTCGCAATATTTTTATGAAAAATCTTATTTGTAGAACTCAGAGGCATTTTGCAAATTTATATACTGAGTGTTTAATAAAAATGACACAGGCGGACTAGGATTTTTTTTTTCATTTCACTACCTACCTAAATTTTAGATATTTCTATACACGATGTCAAATGTGTTTTGCAATTTATGTACAGGATGTTTCATAAAACTGACACAGATGGACCAGATTTTCTCTGATTGATTTTGTTAATTTTTTCATGAAATCTTTTGAAGAAAAGTTGTATATTTACTGACCAGCCGCTTTTTAGAAAATCCATATATATATACTGGGTGTTCCATAAAATTGATCCACATCTGAAACGGGCAATTTTTTTCTTTTTCACTTTTAACTTTGTCTTTATTTACTAAAGTCTTTTAATGAAAAATTATACTTATTAACCAGTTGTCTTTTTGAATTTTTATACTGAGTGAGAATGTTCCACAATACTGATGCGGATTAAAATTACCAATAGAACGAAACTTTCCTTAATGTTTTTTTCCTTTTCTATATTTTGTAATGAAGTCTGCAATATTTTTATGAAAATCCTCTTGCAATTTATGTACAGCATGTTCCATAAAACTGACAGAGGTGTACCAGATTTTCCCTTACTGATTTTGTTAATTTTTTCTTTAAATCTTTTGAAGAAAAGTCGCTTTTTTAAAAATCCATATACTAGATGTTCTATATAATTAGGGGCAGTTTTATTTATTTTCACTTTTAGCTTTGTCTTTATTTACTACAGTCTTTTAATGAAAATTTGTATATTTATCAAGCAGATGTCTTAATTTATTTTTTTTACCATTTCTGCCTTACCTACGTAGTCTTTGGATGAAAAATTTTATATTTACTAACCAGATGCTTTTTTTGTAAGTTTGGAAGAAACTTTTCTTATTCTTTTCTCGAGCGGGGTCTACTCTTTTTTGAAAAACATTCTCCACATACTTTTATATACAGCGTGTTTAAAAATCAAAGTACAGGGTGTTTCAAAAAATGTTATATCTACTAACCAGCGAGGAAGCTACTACCGCAGCGCGGCCCGAGGGCCGAAGGCCCGAGAGAAAGGTCAAACTCCGCGTCAGCGGAGTTTGCCTGCCTTCCTAGTATCAATAATAAAAGTTGAACTTAACCAATTTCTTAAGTTTTAAAGTTGCTGTCAGTTCGTCAAAATGCTTCATTCTTCTAAGGGTTATCTAATTTCATTTTATTCAATAATTGCAACATCTTATAAATTTCTGCATTTTTAATTTCCCGTTCAATTTAAGTTCAACTTTCGGTGTTATTTGGTGTTAAAAAAATTAATGATTGCATTGCATATATTAAATGTCTCCGATATTAAAGAATATAAAGAACAATATTTGGTTTTCACCGTATAGAAAATATATTTTCTATATTTTTCCAGATTACGTGCTTTATTAATGTTAACGAATAATTGAAAATAGGTACTAAATGAATACTTACTATCACCGGCATTACTGTTGTCTGGCTCTAAAGTCCAGATCTGTTTCTTTTTAAGGGAAGTACCGTTGGCATTAATCTTGAAACCGAAAGTTTCTGCAGTGAGATAACGAAATTTCGAATTGATTAGGCCGATAGTCCAACACCCCTTTTGCTGGTTTTGTGTAATGATATCACCGCAGCCATTGAGCTCGCTGCCATTTGTGTGTTCACTTAATCCGTTCATGATGACAGAGTATTCTGGAAAAAAAAGAAATAATAAATTACTCTGTAATTACAATAAAAGACAACAAATTTATCTTAGAAATGTTTAACTCGGGAGAATGGTTCAACGTGATGCGAAATAGTTGACGGTTTCACTGCTTTGATCTTTACCACATAATATGAATGACCTTCAATTATGTATGTAGTTAACTTTTTCATCCTACTAGAAAAATGTCATTGTGTCTGGTGATTGTTAAGGATAACAAGAACGCGGACTTTTAGTAAATGAAAAAAAAATAGACATCACAGGCAGGTAAATAAGCGTGTAATGTTTTCCGAAACTCGTTACTATATAAACCGATCATTCCCTAAGTAGCTACGACTGGTTTATAGTCCAGACGGTATCTGTTTCAAAAAGCCATATTTGGGTGAATCGTATATCCACGGAGATTTTTGGCTTTTTGGCTTTCAAATATCACTAGAAATTAAAATTTTTCCATGCGCATAAAAAATAACGTGGACTTTTGGCGACACAATATGTTAAAAATATTCGAAAAATGTCATATTTTTCTTCCTATTTAATTATGTATCTTTTCAAGAGTTGATTTTAGGCGAAAATGGAAGAGGAAAAAAATGTTTGTAATTAAATTTTATACAAAACATGACTAGTTACAAATCGAATGATTCATGATTATTATGGTAAAAATCGAAAAAATCGCAAAAATGAGGTTAAAAAACAATACTTTTTAGGGAATTTTTTTGGAGTCTTTAAGTTGGGTATAGGACCTTTATACTTGGCTCAAGTAAACTTCATGTTATGTAGAATCATCACACCAAATTTCATCAAAATCGGTTCTATAGATTTTGCATAAAAATTTTGCAATCCAGATTTTGAAAAAAAAAATGTAAATTTTCAAAATTTTGCAGAGCAAAAACCAAGGCCCTTAGATATTTGAAAATTTAATCACACATAGAAGGGATCTCAAGCTTTCAAATTTTTTTTGAAAAACTCGAATCCGCCAATTAGGAGAGCTCTTGCGCTTGTTTAAACATTGATCGAATTTTTGTACTTATAAACAATTAGAATAACTTTGTGAATATTGAATCAAATCAAATTTTTTAAAGCAGGTTTTAAAAGTTCTTGGAAAGACGCATTTAAAAAAAAACAGATCGATTGATCAATTAGTTACGTAGTTATAGCCGATCAAAGTTACCCGTCCTTTACACTAAATATACTGTGACATCCGGGATAATTTTTCGAAAAATCCCTTTGGTATTCCGAGTACTTACCAGGTCTAAGATTACAATACTTTTCTTTTTCTTTCCATTGGCAACCTACTTTAAAACTTCTTTAAAGTTATTTATGCAAGCGAGAAATTCAATAAAATCGTACGGGTGGTGGTGGTGGGGGAAGCAGAGAGCGCGGCCGCTTCGACCTGCTCGAAATTGAATCGGCTATAACTACGTAACTAATTGATCAATCGATCTGTTTTTTTTTTAAGAAGCGTCTTTCCAAGAACTTTTAAAACCTTAAACCATAATAATCATGATTCATTCGATTTGTAACTAGTCATGTTTTGTAAAAAAAATAATTACAAACATTTTTTTCCTCTTCCATTTTCGCCTAAAATCAACTCTTGAAAAGATACACAATTAAATAGGAAGAAATATATGACATTTTTCAAATTTTTTTAACATATTGTGCCGCCAAAAGTTAAGCCCACGTTTTTTTTATGCGCATAGAAAAATTTTCATTTCTAGTGATTTTTGAAAGCCAAAAAGACAAAAATCTCCGTGGATATACGATTCACCCAAACCAAAACAGATATCGCCTAGTCTATTAAGATTTATTAAGAAATTAATCAACGACAGTGTCATTATGACACATTTAGCCTCATTTCGATGCTATTATGGCCTTCATAACACTCAGTGCCATTATGAATTCATAACACGCAAATTTTAAAGCAAAAAATAAACAAAAACAAAGATATTCACCACTTTTACTTATTATTAACTATAAAAAATTCAACAACATTTATTTATTGTACCTAAACATTAATTACAACTTCTAAAAAATTTGTTAAATTAATTCCACCAGATGATAAGTGGGCTGTATTTATTTTTTAGAAAGTAAGTTTATTTCCCGAATGCTTGAACTTATTGAAGTGAAAAAAAAATGACTTTTATTTAGTGAAATTTGGAATTTTGGGAATTGTGCGCAAAATACAAAAACGGTTGGGCAACTTTTGAAAAATTAGTGCGCGGCCGCGCACCCGCGCAGCTTAGAGAGAGCTTTGCCTGAAAGCACCTGAAGCCCCACTATCAATGCAACTTTTATCATAAAATTAGTTCTATCGTTGGCTTCCAGCAAAAATTGAGTTGTTTTATTTTGTTAAAATCTTAGATTTTTTGACCAAAATATCCGTATTTTTTTTTTAATTGATATAGCGTTTAATAATTATTATCAAAGCGACGAAGGCTTGCTATATTTTGAAAGATATACGAAATATGCCAGAAGAACCTTTTCATTGCTGCTAATCTTGAGTACTTTCCCTTTACACCAGGGGTGATCAAACGGTCGATCGCGATAGCATCAGAAGTCGATCACGGAGACATCCACATTCCCTAAATAAATTACATTTTAACAAATTGACGAACATTGTAACTTTCATGAGCTACTCGTTTTCTTGTGAAGATGTTGAAAAATGTGCTACCGGATTGTTTGGATCAACTTATCTATGCGAATCTGCGTTTTCTGAAATGTAAATTATTAAATCCAAATATCGCAGTCGGCTTACTGACGAACATTTGCAACGGTGTTTGCGATTGTCAATCAGCAATAAACCTTTTTAGTAGTGACGTCACATGCGCCAAATAATAGGCAACCCCACAATGCACATTGTTATGAAGTTTCTCAATATTTTTACTAGATCGATTTTCGACTTTATGTACTTTGGACATAAGTACCAAAAAAAATGGCTTCTTTGTCATGACCTTAAATATAGAGATATTCTGGCAATATTAGAAATATTTAAGAAGTTCACTCCAAGTGACAACTAATAGAATTATAGAATTTATATATTTAAATTTATAGAACAATATTGACTTTTATAGTAATTAATAAATTAAAATTATATCAATGTTACTGAGCATGCGCATTAAAGATAATTTCATGTAAGCGAAGTAGCCTCGCAACAGGATATCATTCAAGAAAAGTTTGGTTGTGGTTAAGAGTACGTCTATAATAAACCACTTGAAGAAAAAAACACCTGACACAGTACAACACCAAGAAAAACAATAAAATACTTAGTAGAACTAGAAAAATGCCAAGATTAAACAAAACAAGAGAAAATACGCTAATGACGACAGCGAAAACATATCAACAAGATCTTACCTGTGTATGAGGCTATTCTTTCCGAGCATGACTAACCATTAGGAATAACACGGCTAATGTTAAATTTTTACTTTATTTAAATTTAGGAATATTGATATTTTTCACTAAAACTGAACGTATGACACAAAATTGGACGCCAATAATGAAATTGTCAAAATCAAATTTAAAATAATCAATAACCATAGATCTATATAATCATTATTAATATAATATAGTATTAGATCTATGTCAATAACTATGGTTACCATGACGTCGTCAAATAAGAGCACCTAATAATTTTGAATTTCAGTTTATGACTTTTCTGATATTTTAAGATAAATCGAATCCGCAAATAAAATCTATTTGCAATCAGAAAATATTCGTGCAGACCGGTTCATCGTGCATAATCTGAGGAGCTATTTTCAACTCTTAATAACTTGTTAATTAAATTAATCTTTAAAGCAATTAGTGTAGGAATGATGGTAGTAATTATTTTCTAAAAAACTTGAAAATAAAAATCATTTAAAAATGTTAAAAGTGTTTTCGTGAAAAAATCACCCCACTCACAAAAAGTTCGAACAAAATATTATTAAAAAGATTTCTTCGAAATTTAAATAATGTAACCAATATTATAATGTAATACTGAGTTTACAAAAAACTCATAAAGTCGTACTATTATTTTGTACTTATTTCCGGATATATTTATGTATATATGCATGTCGATATGCATTTCAAGAAACTAAAATTCAATAATTTATTAAATACATATGTAAATATGTACATATTTAGTTTATGAAAATGGGGAATACTAAATACAGTGTATACCTACCTACAGTAAATATTCTCCAGTTTTGTTCCCACATTAACGCGGATACAATACCATGGATTTTTTTTATCTAAAATTTGACATAAATTCATCCATCAGGACCCCTTAATACGACGAAAATCCAGTACTTATTTATTTGTTAAATTTGGAAAATACACAACTGAAATAATAATAAAGTATCTATTGGCCATAATTCAAGGGTAGCTTCCTTGTGTGGTATTGGAGTGCAATTTATTGTGCTTCTTTAAATAGTTAGGGTATCCATTTTTTTTGTTATTTCATACTTTTAAGAACTTTTTAAAATGTTTCAAAGAAATTTTGAATTGAAGGATTTTTAGGATATTTGATGAACATAGATTTTGTTTTATATTTATCTAAAACAGATTATGTAGATATACCATATTTTTGTTGCTACAGATTTTGATAAAATGCAGGTGTTCTATGAAAAAATCGTTTTATCTAACGAAAAAAAAAATTTGTCATTAGTGCATATATTCAAAGAAAAATCGGATTTCAGTTTTACTGAAAGCCGACTAATAATAATAGTATTTGAAGATATTTGAGTCTAATTAAGTTTCTTTTTGCTAAATTTGTACCTTTAATTTTTTTCTTGATTTAGACAAACTTATCGCTATTCAAATATCAGTAATTAACGAGATAGATACCTACAGATTTGTAGTTTCGCGAAGCAATAGTTTTGGAAGATTATTTGAACAGAATGATTTCAATTATAACAAAAAGTTTAACAACAGTACAAATTTAGCAAAAGATGGAATTGAAGTGTTTTTTAAAGACTAGGGCGATTGTTCGCTCTCGGGATTAAAAAATTTACTATTA